CTTATTTCCTTCCAACTGAGCTCAATGGTAATGATGCCATCCACCTGTGGAAGTGTCCCTGAGGTCTTCAGCTCTTTGCACACAGAGATGGGAGGGACTGGATTTGAAACTGTGGAAAACGTTTCTCTGTTTAGTCATTTCATGTCTCCTGAGCTGAAATAAGTCATTATCTCATTTAAAGCCCCACTGCTGCTCGTGAACAGACTGTAGCGTCGGGTAGGTTGATGGTGTAATGCTTCAAAACGGGTGAGTTGTTGTGCTATTGTCACAGAAAGCTGCACTTCTTGTTTGACATGGAAAATGTAAACAGGGACAGAAGGAGCAGCATCCCAGCTGCCCCGTTCAGCCTGAACAGCCAGGTGAGCACAGCTGCTCTGAAAACTGAAGCCATTTGAACACAAATTCCTACAGGTGTTCAAATGCTCCAGAAGTAAAGCTGCTCACATTAACTATTATCTAAATAAATCAATTTAAATACGGCATCTCTGCTCTGAAAAAAGATGGAGGCATATTTCATTCAAAACTGAACATGAGGAAAAATGGAACTACAGACAAAAACCACCTGCAACAAATTTACTTTAAAAAGAACTAATACACAACTCAGCATGATCATTTATGATGACACCTGACAGTTATTTGTGATTCTATATTTATGTAATTATCTTGTATTATCTTATTTTGACCAATGTGTCAGTTGATTTGCTTTTCTGAAAGTCCCTGAAAATCCCTCCAATCAAAAAGGGAAAGGCTGATTCTAAAATGGCTTTAAATGCAGTAGTAACCCAATCAATAATAAATAGAAGAATTGTAGTACACATCAATTATGGGAATGAAATGAGACCAGTGTTATAACCTTGTCATTTATGTGTTAATTTCCACTTCTCATGCCTGGAAATCATCTGATATCCATTAGCTACAGATGATTATTCACTCATAATTAATGAGTGGCTTTGAGCTAGACAATGAGATTAGAAAGCTGGAGTACCTACAACCCACAGACGGAGTTAGTTGTTGTAAATATCCTAAAAGGCAGCAGATTCTGACAAGTTTTCAGTCCTTTTCCTCTAGGGAATAACTAATATAAACAAAGCTGACCTGTGGCCAACAATTAGCAGGTGTGTTCTGAAAAAAAAAGCGCTCCTCTGGGTAGTTGAGGATGCCTGGTGATACAAACACTATCTGAAAGCAGAAAAAGCTACAAACGATAGCTGGAGTGTGTTAAAACAGCCTGAAAAAGTTAATTCAAACCAAAAGGCGTAGTTGGTGTTGTCCTTGTTACCTTCAGATGGGAGACAACTCCAGATCTTCAGTTATTCCTTTTAGTGTTAATCAGTCTCCAAATAATGTGTTTAATCTTCTGATTTGGTCTGTAAAATATCAAAAATACAGAAATTAAATATCCAACTCACAAAATGAGCCATTTCTTTAATCTACATGATCTACGATGAGGTAAACAGAATCATCTTCTACTGATCTTTTTTTCCCTTAACTGTCATAAAAGGTGCAGTGTTTGAGCTTCACGCCGACTTCTGATTGTTAAACAGAGTGATGTCAAACATTCATGTATTCCTTGAACGCAGAGCGGGACAACTAATTGAAATCAAAATGTCACGCTCACACACATGCTGATTTACAAGACCGATGCTGAAGCCTCGTCAACACTAGGAGCTGCAGGCTGGCCAGAGGCAGCCCGGCTCCAACATCAGGCTCAGGTTACAGCTTCTATTTACATTCCTGAGGCTCAGAAGCCCACCTGCTCCGGGACCAGCTGAAACCCGATGCCATGACGTGTGCAGCCGGTGTCTATCAGGTGCAGGCAAATATGTGAAATGCAAATACAGAGGCCGCCTTAACAGGCAGCAGGTTGTTGTTGTACCCAAATAAAAAAACACTCCCAGGAGATAATCCTGTGGAGTGTGTCCTCTTAAACGGTAAAACCCGAGCAGGACGGGCCGAGCAGCTGAGCCGTCCTCAGATTCATTTTCATTTGATCCTCATTTAGCACTTGCTCTCATGTAAACAGCAGCAGATTCATAGGTTGAAACGGGGTCGTCATCAGATGGAATAACATCACATTATCATGGCGACTCCAGCTCGGTATTTATAAAAAATGTATCCGGCTGGCAAACCTCAGCGTCACCCCCCCGCCTCTCTAATTCACTCATTTAACATCAAGGCGGCCACAAAAAAGTATTAAAATTAATAAGAAAATGCACCAGGATCAGTTCAATTAAAGACATCAGCCGATAGCCGCTCTGTTTAAATACAACTGTCAAGCAGAGGTGAAGCAAATTTCCATCACAAATATCCAAAATCTAAAGACACACATCGGATGTGTTTTCATTATCTGGATTGGAAAGATTAAAATCGGCCATAGGAAACAGTCTTCTAAGGATAAGAAGACACAAATCTCACACCAGTGTGAGATGGAGAGAAATTCAAAGGAATGAGACATTTTGTGTCGTGGCCATGTCTAAAAGCAGAATAAAGGCCTCAATCTTTAAAGTAAAATGTTACAGACTCCTATCTATTTTAGAAAAAAAAGCAAGAAAAAAAATACTTTCAGAAATGTAAAAGCTTCTTTGAACATTTTAAAATCCCACAGATTTTATATCAACCTTTGCAACACACAAGGACAAAATAAAAATAACTAAACCTTCTCAAAGGCAGCATTTTATGATTTTTTTTAAAAATGTTTCTTTTATAGATTGAATCCAGTGAACACTTATGTAGGGATCTCTGCCATCTAGTAGTGGAAAAATTACCGCATCCAGTGAAATTCTGGTCCCGTGGTGTGTTCAAAGGCCAAAAAACTGATGGGTGTTTTGGTTTGTTTATCTTTGCTGTCGAGTTTTATTCAGTCATAGATCTGATCTCTAGTTTTTAAATAAGGCATATTTTCTTTTTAAGATGGTCTAAGGCAACCTTCTTATGATTTCATGAAACTTTAAAAAAGAAAAACTCCTAAATTTAGCTTTGGCTTATGAAGGTATAAAGGTCCTTTCTTTTTGTGCACCTCAGTCGTTTAGAAGCTGGAAGCGTTTACTTTCTCTCTTTATTCCATGGGTCTCCAACTGCGGGCCAGTATCCCGCAGGTTCTAGAGGTTTCCCTGCTTCACATCTGATTCTGATTAGGTGGATCAGATCAAAGGCTCTGCACAATCCTGATTAGGGCCCCCTGACCAGATTCAGGTGTGTTGAAGCAGGGAAACTTCTAAAACCTGCAGGACAGCGGCCCTCGAGGACCGACTTTGGGGACCCCTGCTTTATTCTTCCTTTAGAGATTATTAGGTGGAAATTCAGGCATTAAATGTGCTGTCCGTATGATTATCTGTACGCGCAGCCCTGAGCACAACGTAGTTTCCAACAGATGGTTTGTCAGTGAACTCTGGCACCAAGTAAAAAAGAGCATAAAGATTTACTGATAGATGCAAACATTAGAGTAAATGCATGTGTGAAAATGCAATTCGTGCAATTTGAAAAAACTTTAAAGTCAGTTTTTGCTCTGAGCTCCTTTCTCCTCCATCTCTGAGCCCTCTCCAAGCAGCTGTGTGTCCTTCCTTTAAGGAGTCTTCAGGAGCAGCTCTCCAGGCTTCTTGAAGGACGTCCCAAAGCTCTTCTTTGGATGTGGGCTGCCTTTGGCTCCGTTCTCTGTCAGATGATCCCACACTGCTTCATAATGTGGAGCTCCGGGCTCTGGGGAGGATTCATCCCTCCATCAGAGCTGCTGCCACTGGTTTTCAGTCCACTTCTTGAGTCCTTTGGCAGAGCTTAGCCTTTCATCCCTGTTCCCCATCCTTCAGAATGGATTTACTCTTATAACAACTTAATGGTTAGGACACAGACCTGTGGGTCAGGAGATGCTAATGCTCATGTGGGATTGGACATTTTTTAAAAACTGGATCTGGAGTCTGGATCGGCATTTTCTCATGCCGGCCGATACAAAGTTTTTTGCCAATATCGGATCGGGACAAGCCTAAATGCCAAGGTTTCAGCTGGTACATGACAACATGGGAACGAATATCTGTGATAGTGTGCTGGTAAAAAAAAAAAGGCAATTTAAACTGCTTCTTTGCAAAGTTGTCTGTCCAGTGTGGACAAACCCCTGGTTCATCCTTTAAATTAAGGGCTTTTTTCTGCCTGAAAGATTCATAGGTCAGAGTTAAGTGGCTTGAAGAAAAACATCACTCTGCCAATATCATAAGAAAAAGCCTCAAAGCCTGAAAAATTAATGATCCCAGTCTGTCTGCTTCGGGGCAAAGCAAAGAAATGAGGCCTGGATCAAGTATTTTTCACCAAACCGTAATATTTTAATAGAAAACGATAGGTTTGGGTACAAAGAGGTGAGCAAAAATAACATACATTTTCACAGAAAAGTTGAAACGGGCATTAAATCTAAAGTATTAAGGAAGTGCCTTCCAGCTTTGTTGGCGTTTAAAGGTCAGTCATATCCCTTAAAGATTTTAAGTGTTTCTTTAACACCTGAAGCCGGTGTAGCAAAGTAAAAAAACAAAAGCATCAATTATGAAACCAAAAAGGTGATGGTGATAATTAATCAGGGAGCAGGTGCGGCTGAGCTGAGGGAGGGGGCGCGAGCTCCTTAAATTCCAACAAACAGGTGCATTCATTACTCACTTTAACCCAAGTTTTTAATTAAAAAAAGGGTCCGGATTCCCTGCAAAAGCAGCTTTAACCCTGAACTGCGACGGTTTGCAGACGGTCCGGCGGAAAATCGAGGGGAAAACGGTCGCGTTCGGGACATTTGAGTGGGGTCCACGCGAAGCTGGCGAATAACGGTCGGCTGGATGAAAACTTAACGTATTACAGGACGCACGTTTAAACAAGCGAAGACTACAGAAGAAGTATCCCATTTAACTGAAAACACGGTTTCCCCCGGACAAGCTAAAGGCAGGCTGAAGTTAACCGAGCTCTGCGGGACAGCGGACGACACAGAAGCCGCCAGCTCATCCCGAAACCTGTGACCAAAAACGGACACTTACCTCCAACGAGTGTCCGCTGACCAACGCCGGAGAGGAGAAAACTGATCCGGACAGCGCGTCCAAAAGTCTGCGAAAACACTTAGATTCTTTTGTACCCTGTGGTGGTGATTAAGTGCCCCTCTGGTGACAGTTTGTATACGGATCACAGCTCACAACGTGGACTGGAAGCCAGCGGCAGAAGCGGCACAACAAGCGGCAGAATCGGATACGGTCTCCGGCCAGCCTGCCGTCAGAGCAGGGGGTAGCGGAGGTTGCGGTCGCGCATGCGTACAACTACAACTACTGCAAAAACAAAGATCGTCTAATAAAAGAAATCCACTCTTGCACAATTTTACAGCTGTCAACGAGTAAATGCATTGCTTAAGACCACTAAATCCATTTGGCTGTACGAAAAATAAAGTTTAATGGCCTTCAACAAATATATTCTCAAGTCTGGTTTCCAGTTTCATGGCTCATTGTGTAAAATAGGTCCCCGAATATTCTCGTGGTTTTATCCTGTGTCTCCATCGTTTGCACAATATTAGATTTGGTTTATTATTGTATTTATTTTTTGGGCAGGACAGAACCCTTGGGGAACCCCATGGGTGGCTGGAAATTACTGTAGCTTAAAATGGTGGGGCCGCCGCGTAGCCTAATGGCTAGAGCGGGCGGCCCATATGTGGCGCGTCTGCATGCTCGCAAGCGGGTGTCCTGGGTTTGATTCCAGCCCATGGCTCTTTCCCGCAGGTCTCCCCCTCTCTATCTCTGCCCCCTTTCCTGTCAAGCTGCTGTCATTAAAAGGCCACTAGAGCCAACAAAATCTTTTAAAAAAAAAAAAAAAAAAAAAATGGTTGATCTGTCTGTACTGCATGCAGCAAGAAAGATTAGATTAAATCATTTGTGGGGTAAAGATAGAGCACAATGTTGATAATTCAAGATGTTTAGATTAAGTTTATTAATGTCTGCTTCTACTTTATATCAGGGATCTCAAGCTTCCCTGTTCACACCAAAGTGCCCTCAGCAGGCCTTGGCAGAGCCCAACAATGTTTAAATAGATCGGTTTAAGCAGAATCAGGTGTGTTGAAGCAGGGAAAGATCTAAAACCTCAAGTTTGGATTTGAACACCCCTGCCATATATCTTGACTGTCTTGGCTGATCTGCACCAAATGTGAAACAAACTAAGCAGACAAAGGCAGCTGAAACAGCTCTAAGTGTGTTGAGTTGTGAGGAAAGGGAATTAAGTTTAAGACTAGACCTTTGAAGGACACACTGCACACCATGCTGAGGTATGCTCAGTTTTCAGCTATTAGCTCTTTGGGAATCACCCAGCTCACCCCTTTAGTTAGGGGCCTTTTGTCTGCCTGCATGATCATTAGGTCAAAGTAAAGTGGCCTATTAAAGAAAAGCCACATTACTGGGTCAGTGAATCTTGGTCTTACTGTTCTGGCATCTGTGGGATCTCTGCTTTCAGCAGAGGGTCGTTTGTCTGCTCATGGACAGGTTTTCAACCAGCGGATCCAGGTTTGTGTGTACCTGCTCTTTGATGGTTTATTGTGTGGCATGGTTTGTCTCAGAAGTCTTAGCTGAAAGTCAGACCTTTATTTGGATGCTGATAACGTCTATATTTTGTAATTTATAAAGATTTAACATATATTCATACTGTATTTTTCATGAACTGACGCAGACATATAATGGTTTTTGTTTTGTTTTCTTGTTTGTTTGTTCTTCCAAAAGATCACAAAACAATATAATTACTCCAGGAATTTCAGACAAAACTAATCATTCTAATCATTTTTCAATCTGGGCCAGGTCACCTGTAAGGCCTAATTTTTTATATTTTATAAAGGTCTGCTCTGTTAAATTCCAAATATGCCAAAGATCTCCAAAGAGATACTAAATTATTACTTTTGTGGTTTATAGTCTTGTAGATGTCTTTTGTATCTTTGTTATTTTTTTGTGAGATAAGAAGCATAAGGAGAGGAAGTGGCTGGCCTGAGCTGTGCTTTTGGTCTCGGGAAACAGCAGAGAGTGGGACCTCTGTCGTTGGCCAGCTCCTCTCAGGTGTTCCAGCTCATCCACAGCAGCAGGCCAGGTAACTCAGTCAGCCCAGCTGCGCAGGTCAAGAGCCCCACCATCAACGAATAACTGCGAAATGAGCCAAGCAGCAGTTTATTCCCCAAGGTTGCGTCATAGATTACAGCAATTGCGGTAATTTCCCAGCCTAGTTTCCCTTTTCCTGCTCGTGAAACACGCTGGTGAAAAACCACGTGCAGCTTTCAGGGAGGCGGCTGATGTGTTGCTGTTATCCTCATCATCTCCCATGAACAGTTCTCTGCTCTCCTTTTACTCATCTCCTGCTTCTTCTCTTTCACACACACACACACACACACACTAAGATGACACCCTCCATCTGGCATGCGCTTAACGCCACAGACGTCAGGTCCACCGCATCGGCCCCCGAAAGTGGAGAGGAGGATGAAGCCTATCTGTCATGTTGCAGCGCTCTGAGCCCATGCATGCATGCTCAAGTGACCGTGTTCTGCTGGAGAGACAGCGTGGCAGTTGTAGTGCTGCATCAGCACAGTGCCGGGTTACAGGAGTGTTTGCGTGTGTGAGCGCTGTCTGCGTCACGCAGCAGCAGGTGGACTGTGCAGGGAGAGGCTCCCTCTGCGGCTCCACAGCCTGTTTTCCTACGAACACACACACACACACACGGGTCTGGACGGTTTTCGCACTTCTCCGGTTATGTTTCACACTTATTACAGCCCTCAAGATTGATGGGAGTTCAGAGCTGCTAAAGAGACTAAATGGATGCCCAGATTCATTGGCAATTTAATGGTGAATATCCTGATCTGACTTAATGGTTTTCCTATTGGCCTTCGACTCCAGACACAGCAGAGTCGGCTGATTTAATAATCAGAAGAGCTTGAGTAGAAGAAACCAGGCTTCTTATTGGCTCTTGAAGATGATTTTCCACTCATTTTAAAGGCTTCTTTAGCTCTAAACTACATATTGGGGAGGATCAGATTATATCAGATGGGATCATTGGTCAATCTAAACCCCCTGACCAATGAGAGGCAGAATATTTTAGATACACAGATATAACATGCTCTATTACATTGTCTTTGGTTGATATTATAGTTGTTTTTAATGTGGGAATTCTGTGACTAACTGAGCTGATTTAGCAGCAATCTACTCAGAGCAAAAATAATCTGTAGTCCAGCAATAATCAAATAATTAAATCAAATTGTTTACTATAGCCATGAGTTATTTTGAGGTATAAAGAAAAGTAATTTTATTTGATCTGGTGAGGCAGGACATTCAGTCTCTGTAAAGGTTTATGGTTCCACACACATTTGTATAGTCTGTTTATGATAAGAAAGAACTATAATAATCTATGAAAAAAAGTTGGAGTGGACTAACTAGATTATAAAACTAGCAACAAAAAGTCTTCGATTTGGACAAAAAAAAAGATTAAAAAGTTCATTTTCTCCACTTTGATCAAAAATACAATATTACATCTTCAAATATGTCCATTTCAATTGGTTTCTGTCTGTCTGTCTGTCTAACTAACACAGATATGAATTATATTTTTGTGTTTGTTTTTTGTGAGGATTTGGCTCAGATATGTAGTTCATTTGATTAGAAATTGGTTACTGACCTGCACCAGCTCAAATGTCCCTGGTTTTGTATCTCTGACTGTTATCTGGTAGGTGTGGGGTGACTGCTCTGTCATATGCACGCCACTCACTCGCTTCTCCAATACAAGCAACAATACAAGTGCTTCCAAGTCCAGGAGGGACATTTTGCAGCTGAGGCAGTGAAAGGCTCTTTGGTGGGAGTGATCACACGTTCAGGTCCAGAGTACTTTAATTTCAGGATTTAATCAGTTTTGAGCTCCAGCCTAGCCTTCAGATTAAACTGTGTTGCCTCATTAATCAGATATTCAGGGGCATTTTGTGGTGGTTATTAATCATGTGTGGCATTAAGGTTTTGTCTTCTTTCTTGGAGCTAAATGCAAATCGCAGACCTTTAAAGACTTTCACAGTCCTCAAACTAAACTTTGAAAAGTTCTACCTGATTTGAATACTTACTCGTGGGATTGGACCGCCTGTCAAAATATGCTTTAAAATATTAGTTAATATTGGTTAAATATCAAAGAGAAGCAGCTAAAGGCTCTTTTTCCTCTCAGAATCATCTTAAACTTCATCTCTCTGCTCTTGATAACAGCTTCCATTCTTCCACTGGTTTTTTTTCTCTCCTTTCTGACATTTGCTCTTGTTATTAAGTCCCACAGAGTTTCCAGCTGTTTCCACAGACTTGCTCTGGATGAAACTTTTGTGTGTTCAGTCTTTGAATCTCCTGAGTCCCACATTGACTTTGTCTTGGCTCCTCCATCAGCTCCAGTCCTCCAGGTGTTGGTGGACGTCTGCAGGCCTCAGTAACGGCTTCTTAGCAGCTCTGCTTCCAGCTGTTTCTTGAACCAAAACTGGTTTTACAGCAAAGAACCTATTAACTCAAGGCTCTTCCTCCCATTCTCCTACTCAGGGAACAATAAGTAGACCTGCAGTGATGTTTATTGCATTCATCCTCCATATGTTTTCTGCACCTGCTCCAAAGCTGGGTTTCATTATACACCCTGAACAGGTTACCCTGAACACATTCAATTTTCGGGGCAATTTAGTGTTTAATATTAATCTAACATGTATGTTTCTGGACTGTGGGAGGACACCAGAGAATGCACAGAGAATCTACACCTGCATGCAAACGACAAGCAAACCAACAGAAAGAAGAAGCCGGGATTCAAACCGGGAACCCTCTGCTGCAGACCACCACACCAACCTACGCATGAGTCAGTTTTTTATCAAATTCATTCACATTCTCCACATGATAACTGCAAAAAACAGGGGCTCTAATGATCACATCATTATTCTTCTCTAACAATGGAGCCAAATGAAGTCAGAGATTTGCATCAGCACAGCGTGTCACTGACCTCTGAACCTGCCGCCTCGCCTCGTCTGCCCGTCATCATCACATTTTCACTCCTCTGACGCACAAGTGCATAAAATCTGCTCCTCTTTTGGTAGGAGTCACCTTCACTTTCACAGTTAATCACCACTTCCTCACTGCAGATCTGCCCATCGCCTCCATCTGCTCGTCACCTCCGCCGCTGAATTACAATCGAGGGATCAGGACTGAAAAAGGGGAAGAAACAGCCAAGACCAGTGGTGGAAAAGTCATCGTTTGCTGCTTGTGTTCATGTTTGAGCATGAACAGGATGTGGAAACGTAGTT